AAGTGTCACACCATTTTTTATTACAAATAAATAAATAAATAAATAAAAAGGGAAAGAAGAATGGAATAAAGAAAGGGGTGTAGTGTATTGAAACTACTCATCAACCTGGTTTGGCTGGAGGAAAACGGTGGGGGAGAGAGAGAGAGAGAGAGAGAGAGAGAGAGAGAGTTCAACTCTAGAGAAAAGGGCCAAAAATCTGGGCAGCAACACTAGGCTCCCAAACACAACCAACCTGAAACAAACCTGCCCAACACATCCTATAACTTATTATACCAGTTAAGAGGATGCAAACAAGATAATAAACAACTACCAACATCCACGGACACATGTCCGGATCACTGTTCAACAAGGGTAAACCCGGGATCGCAATATTAAAGTTCAAATTTTGTAGAAAAATCACCTAAAAGCTGAAATTGAGAGATAATTGGATTCAATTCCATGTAATTAAAAGGAAATTAGCAAGATGATGAAGAAATGGAGTTATGTTCAATTTATGGAAGTTAAATTGGGAATCAATTTTGTTGAATTTGATTTTTTGTAGTCTTGCATGAATTTGAGTTTCATTTCTACATGCATGAACAAATTCTACAAGTATAATACTCTAATTAAACATGCATCATAGAATGTCAAAGTTTTGAGATTTTAATTCATGTTTAAAAGGTTTATGGATTTGAATTTGGGTTTGATTTGGAGAAAATTAATAATAATCCAAATTAGTGCTATTCTAATCAAAATTATTTGGTTTTCATCTTAATTTCATACATGCAAAGTTTCATAACTCCAATTTCATCATTTAAAGGAAAATAAAAAAAAAAAAAAAGGATTAAGAATGAATTTCATGTAATTTCAAAGAAATTAGAAAAAGGGTGAAGGAATTGAATTAAGTTCAAATTGTAGAAATTAAATTAGAATTGAGCATTTTGTAGTTTGATTTTTGTTGTCTTGCAAAAATTAGAATTTTAATTGCACTTAAAGGAAAATAAAAAAATAAAAAAAGGGATTAAGAATCAATTTCATGTATTTCAAAGAAATTAGAAAAAGGGTGAAGGAATTGAATTAAATTCAAATTGTAGAAATTAAATTAGAATTGAGCATTTTGTAGTTTGATTTTTGTTGTCTTGCAAAAATTAGAATTTTAATTGCACATACATCATAAATTTTTCGAGAGTTGTGAAAGTTTAATTCATGTTTTAAAATTTGTGCGTTTAAAATTGGGTTTGATATGGAGGAAATAAATTAAGTCTAAATTTGGGCAAATTTAGATATGAATTATAATTTATATTTGAGAATCAAAAATTAGTTTGATTTTGATTTTGATTTTGATTTTAATTTCTTACATGTAAATATTTTTTTTAAAGGGCCTTATGGCTTTAATTTATGCATTATAAAACGAAGAAAGATGAATGTTGAGATTATTATATTCATGAAATTATTGGTTTTAATCTTAATGATCAAAGAGATTTTTGTATTAGAAATTAGAAAATTAGTCATGGGTTCATCATTAGTAATGAAAAATTACATGTTTAAATTAGTCCATGCAAGAGTCAAAGTTTTAAAAATGTGTTTGAAAATTATTTTTGTTGGTTTTGAAAGCACAGAAAATTTGTTGGCCGCTCAAGCGGTAAAGTCACCGCTCGAGTAAACATTGAGGCCATCCAGTATTTTTACATAGCTTTGCAGACCGCTCGAGCGATCAAATGTCCACTGGAGCGAAGACCCTATTTTCAACAATTTTTTACTAACTCTTTTAAATGCATATTTGCATCCTCATGGCATTCTAAGTATTCTTAGGCACCAATTGGACTCACACAGTCATGGAATAAGCTAGAAACACATAAAGAAAGTTGAATTAAAATGAAATGGATATTGAATGGTGCTTCCATTCTATCTTTGTTGTGTGATTTGTATAGCTGGACGTCCGAGCCCTTATATTGACTTAACCCACAGTGAGTAATAACTCGATAAAGATATGTTCAATTTATCTTTATTTTTTGAAAATGTTATTGCTATCGAAATTGATGTATGATTGATTGAATGGCTTATTGAAACATTATTTCTCAAAATGAATGAAGTTCTGTTTTGAAATGGTATTGTGGCATCCATTGAACGTAGGCCCTTGTCTGGGGGTAATAATACCATGGCAAGGCCTTTGTCTGGAGGTAACAATATCATGGCTAGGCTGTCACGACCCCATTCCGCCCCTAGTAGAATGGTGCCGTGATGGCCAGTAATCCGAGATTACCGAAGGCCAACTTTCAAAATTCACACACAATCAGAGTATTACATATGGGGCTAACATGTGCGGAAGCAATATATTTAAATCTAAGTAGTCCATAAGAGCTGTGCATAGATCAAATGAAATGACATACATCTTAGCATGGTTTTACAACTTGAATACAGATAAAATAAAGTACATGTTACATCTTGATCAAAAGGCTTCTCAAGCCGACATATACAAAATACATGAAATATAAAGTCAAGAAGCATAATCTTCAAGATTGCCGACATAACATGGATCAAACATCATCTTGCAAATAACACATCTCGGCGTCACCGCCTTCATGCTTGTTACCTACATATATATATATATATATATATATATAAGGAGAGGGTGAGCTTGGATACTCAGTGAATGGTATAAGTAATAAAGGGGTTAAATGAATGATTCCCGATGTCCTTGTCAAAACAATACATATATCATAGCTTGTTCAAAACATGGGATGGATCAAGTTCATCAATCAAATCTTGGTCTTTCAAATCTTCTTGGGATGTTTAATAACATCTACATAATACATGGGGTGATGACATTCCTGACGAAACAAACCCACCCGTTCATAAACCGTCAGTGACAAATCCACCCGTTCACAGACCGTCGGTGGGGCCATCCGTTCATAGACCGTCGATGACAAATATCTCTCAAACATGATGCTACATGGGCTTAAAGTCCCCTAGCATGGGAGGACTTGTGCTACAAAAGTTTAGAGTCCCCTAGCACATACGGACTTTCCAAGAATGTCATCCAAAACAAGGCTAATACTTGATATACAAAATAGGGATCATCATTCATGCTTAACAATACTTTTCAAAACAAGCAAAGCGAAACTTTAACAAAACGTTATAACATAGCTTTATTAGAAATACCACTCACATAGTTCTTGGGACGTCGGGATCAAGGAAAACGTCCAAGTCCTACAAACACATGGCAAAGTCTATTGAATGTACTCTTAAAAACAAGCTTTACATGAATGCAAACGATCTAGGGAAAACATGCTGGGAAACATCTAGGGAAAACATGCTGGGTACCAACCAGGTCTTGGAATGGATGCACAGAAATGATCTAGGCAAAAATGACCTAGCTGAGTGAACTCAGGAGGTCTTGGCCGAGGTGTTACAAGGTGCCGGCATGGGTGTACCATGGTCGGCCTAGGTGTGCAGTGGTTAGCCTACGTGTGCATGGAAGATAAACTAACGTGCAAGTGATCATGCAAGGTAGGCCAAGGTAAGATACGATGCTTGGCCTAAGTGTGTGATCTAGGCAAGAGTGGTCTCAGTGATCACACCTAGGGAAATGAAGCCTGGAAATCTGGGTTTCATCCTTGAAGAACATGGGCATGAAGAACATGAAGAACATGAATGCTAAAATCATAACTTGTTATTATAAAATCTGAGGTTTCATGCTATGAGTTCAAAAACATGGACCTTGGTACCCATACTTGAAGATCATATGAAAACATACACGAAAACATGGATCTTGATACAAATTTTCGGATCAAAACATGGTTTTTCCTCAAGAACACATGAATATCACTTTCTCTTCCTAAAACCGAACTTCAAAGCAATACATGGTTCATGAAACATGGTAGATCATGCAATGCGATTAGATTAACATAAAGAATAACAAGAGTAGATCACGAATCTAACCTTAAAACACGGATCTAACGGTTCGATCTCTAGGGATCAAGCTTGGAAATCTACCTCTCTCTAGAATTCCTCTTCCTCTTCCTAGAGCTTCTCTCTCTTCTAAGACAAGGATATAGCAAATGATATGTTTTTCTCTCTCTGCCAACTGATTTAACCCTCTGCAAGGACACGTGGCACTACCGGATTGGTTCTCCTCAAAAGGTGATAGAAAGACAAGACAAGTGTATGACAAAGTGTGTACAACAAGCTAGCTGACATGGGCACTCCAGCAGGTAATGATCTCGGCTAAGGACATAGGCTTCGGCAAGTAAGGTCTCAATGATCTCGGCTAGGAAGGATAACACTTGGCCAAGCTGTGCCACACCTCCGCCTAGATGTGCCACACCTCGGTCTAGGTCATTCCAGTCCCGGAACAAGATCACTAGGTGCAAGGATCAACGATCTAGGGCGCCTAAATGATAACATCTCGGCCTAGATGATGCACATCTCGGCCTAGGTGATGCACACCTCGGCCTAGATGATGACATCTCGGCCAATATGCCTAGGTGATGGTGGAGGTCAACCAAAGTGGTTCCAAGATGGTCCTAGGGGTAAGAGGTTCAAAGGTGTGACCTAGGCTTGGCATGACCTAGGCTTAACATGACCTAGGCTTGACAGGCTTGGCATGACCTAGGCTTGGCATGACCTAGGCTTGACATGACTTAGGCTTAACATGACCTAGGCTTGGCATAGCAGGGGAGGAACAAAGCATGCAAGCAACATTTAAGCAAAACAAGACAAGATTCATGAATGTAAACTTAACAAGACAAAGTTATGTAAATGCACATGAATATGACTAAGACATGAATATGGGTTGTTACATAGGCCCTTGCTTGGGGGCAACAATACCATGGCTTTTTTATTGATTGATATATGGTCCGTTATCACTGGAATATTATTGTTTCATAGATGTACCACATATAATGATATGAATGGCTTTTGTTATTGTAAAGAGATGATATGATTGCTAATCGAAATGTTCTATCTATTAAAAAGGATTGCTTCGAAAAATGAAAGATATGTTTTGATATGGTGCTTTTTATTAACTTGTGAAATGGTCACAGCCAAGGAGCATGTTGTGGGTTGGTACAGTACGGGACCAAAGCTGCGGGAGAATGACCTAGATATTCATGGTTTATTTAATGAGTAAGATAATTAATCTTTCTACTTAAGAGAAGGTGCTGCTTGTGCAAGTAAAATTTTGTGTTTGCAGTTTGTTATCTTTGTTTTTCTTATCTATCCAATCAACAAATAGCTTGGCAATCCCCACAACAACTCTTTCTCTGTTTCTTTTTATTTCCATGTATCACCCTTATTGTTTGATGCCTTTGGCAATTGCAGTTATGTTCCAAATCCTGTCTTGGTCATAATAGATGTCCAACCTAAGGAGCTTGGAATACCCACTAAGGCTTACTATGCTGTTGAAGAGGTTAAAGAGGTAAATAGCACTATAGCAGTTTCAGGGTTTCTTGTCAAGCTGTTGTATATAGTTGATCAGATATGTTATATTGAGCTTGGATATAAGAGATCTGTTGCTAAGATATACTTGATCTAGAATGTCTATTGAATAACAGAGAGAAACTGATAAAAAAATCACAAAGTTTGTGACCCTGCTATTAGTTGCTGAAATCCTTTATCATGCTGAAATTGAACCAAAGTAACAGTCACTTATGGTTGCAGAATGCTACTCTGAAGAGCCAGAAAGTGTTTGCTCATGTACCCTCAGAAATTGCTGCTCATGAAGTTGAGGAAATTGGTATTCCTTTTTCCATTTAGCTATTTGTTTCCACAAAAACTGCAGAACATGCAATCTGCTTTAGATGTTGAATGTTTTTATTTGATAAGTATATTTATTAATGAAACAAAATATATATTTTTTTTGATAAACATATTTATTAATGCAACAATGAGCACAAATTGCATACACGGCGTATACAAAAGGAGTGGAATATTTGATCTTCCTGCTTTTTCCATTTCTCATGCCAACAGGAGTGGAACACCTGCTATGGGATGTGAAGGATACAACCATTAGCACACTTGCAACTGAGGTTTCTAATTTTGCTTATTTTAAGTTTCGTTGCATTTTTTTCTTTCACTCAGCTATAGTAAAGAATTGAATCTTGTAGTTTGACAATGTGTAATTTTTTTTCCTTTCCTTTAATTTTCTTGCTTTGTAACTTTATGGGTATTTCAACTATATTCGATCAAAAGGAGAATTGTGAATAACACTTACCTTTGCACTTGCTAGGTTACAGGAAAACTTGCAGCCTTAAAGGGTTTGGATGCACGACTACGAGAAATACGTGGTTATCTTGATCTTGTTATTGATGGCAAGCTTCCTTTAAATCATGAAATCCTTTATCATTTACAAGTAATCTCCTATATTGACTTGTATTTATTTCTACTTAGAAAATGGAGCCTTTGTTTAACATTTAATATATTCTTTCTTTGCACATTTCATATATGAATTTCTATAAAACTGCAGGATGTATTCAACCTTCTTCCAAATCTGAATGTGGCTGAGCTAATCGAGGCATTTGCTGGTAGATATTTATATATATTATAAGAAAGAAACCAAATATGTTAAGTAGGAATGTAAAATTGGCCTGCTCAGCCTGGCTTGGCCCAAGTTTAAGTGGAAGGCCAGTGGGCTCTGTGCTGGACCAATTTCCAAAAACCCCCGTCTAGGCCAGCCATCTTACACATTGTTTGTTCCCCCTTAGTATTTGCAGTGAAAACAAATGATATGATGTTGGTCATATATCTTTCCTCTTTGATCAGAAGTGTGGTAGCACTCCACGACCTGATCAATAGCAAGGTAACTTTTGCTCTCCTGAACACAAATGTCATTTTGTACTTAATTCATGGCTTTATTGGTACCTGATAATTAGCTTAATGTATAGATTATATGTTGGGTATCGTTAAAAATACAAATTACTAGGTGGTCTTTTAGGCGCTAATAATTTACATATTTATTTTACGGGATAAACCAAATGTAGAAGGTTGAAATCAGCCTGCCACAGGTGCAAGAATGCTGCCTCCACATCCTGTTTTTATAATGATCGTCGCTCAAGTGTCGTGTGAGCTTATAGTCCATTTGGATCGAGTGATTTGGTGAGAAATTACAAGAATTGAGGAGAAAGTTAACTCTTCTCATATTTGGTTTATAATTTAGGTGAGAAGTGGTGAAAATTTGAGAGAAATAGAACTCATTTATGTAATAGGTTGTGTATTTTTTTTAATAATACCGTGATTGCTCAGTAAATAAAAAAAGAAAAGAAAAGAAAAAGAAATACCATTCATATCCCTATATCACATACATTGTTTTCTTACTCATCCAAACATGATAGTGAGAAATCACAATCATTTCTACTCTTTTTCACCAAGATGAGAGACGAAAGTCATTTTTCTTTTCTTTTCTCACCCCATGATCGAAACACGGAGTGTTAATGTCAGATCTTTCTCAACAGGGGTACTAATAGATGGACTTTGGGAGTTTTCTTGATGTTTCAATCAGGCCCTCTTTGCATCTTTATAAATATTGGATGGGTAAAAGAATGCCATTTTTGTATTTAAGATCATTTACAAACATCCTCTTCTCCTATTCCCCAGATGCTTAACAAAGAACATGAAAAAGCTGAGGATTTGAAGCCTGCTCCCGTCCCAGCCAGCACTTGAAGTTGATTGGATTTTACTGGATTTCACACATGATAGAGCTCAAGGTGAAGCTTCCGGGGAGGAGGGGAATCTGTCCTACTCTGATGCTTCTCATTGATGAGAATTTTTGAATTTTTCATGTTGCAGCCAGAGACCATAGGTCTCCACAGGTCTCCATTCTTGATTCATCGCTGCTGTTGATTCATTATCAGTTGGTGAATTTTAATTTGCTTACCGGTCAATGTACCATGTTTAATGGCTGCAAAAATAATATCTTCTAATGATTGTTTTGTTCAGCATCTTGTCTCCTCTCCATCATCTTTATTGACCACAGCATTTTATTTTGTGCTTCATTCTGAGGATATGTTCGGAGGTAGGTATGTAGTAGGTGGAATGGGTAGAGTAGGTGTAGTGGTAGGTTTTGGTACATTTTAACAAACTATAAAGATCTATGTCAATTTGGAGCAATGAGATCTGTGAGGAAGAATAATCAGTCCTCAGATGGATTATTTGTCATCAAGGTGTCCTAGTCGACTGTCCATTTGCCTGCAGGCTTATCCTTTAATGAAAAACCTGTTTCTCGACAGATTGCAGTAATGGGTGGCTGAAAGGGCTCACCAAGGTGTATATCCCTTTTCTGGCTAGCGGTGATGTCAGTGGATATGACTTGGATCGTTCATATCCACTCCCTAGACTCGCAGAAGAAACATACCAAAGTTTGGATCCAATACAGCCACCAATTGGTCCCCCTTACACGAGCTCTTGAAATGAAGAAAGCTTCCAGTCATGGGATCCGAGATTTTGAGAAGCTCCCTTGATTTGTGGTAACTATGCAGCACCAATACTGCCTTAGAAATGATTTGGATTAGTTAGAATTGATATAATTGATTGTACTATTTATTAGTGTGAGCCAGTCTTATATATAATTGTCAAATCGGGATTCGAATCGTAAATTAAAATGATATTATACCTAATCGCGAATCGAATCAAATCATGAATCATAAAGATTTGGTCACTTTTTTTTAAATTACATAGAAAAATATATCTACATACTTAGATATTAAATATATCTAATGAATATGAAATATTTAGACTTAAATTAATGAAAATATTATTTTAAATAATGATCATGTGGTCTAGGTAAGAAGTTAACACGGATTTTCATATTTACCGCTTCACATTTTTCCTATTAGATATTATTTTTTATCAATCATTCTTAATAAATAAATAAATAAAGCAAACAAAGACAAACTTTCAATTTTCAAGTAATAATAATTCAACAACAATGTTTTTTGACATTTTACAAGGTTAAAGTATTAAAATCTTTAAAAAACATTTTTTTCTAAAATCCGACTTGATGCCTTCAAAAAATTCATTTTGTAAATGCAAGTGCTTAGATAAAATTGAATATAAACTAAGAATATTGTAGAGAGAGTTCATTTTTTTTGGCTAAGGTTCGTATTTGAGAGTAAATAGGGGGAGAGAAAGTCAAAAGATGACATATAATAATCTTAAAGATCTTAAAAAGGTTGTGTGAACCTTTTTCCAACAATAAAAAAGTAAAAAAGAAACCAAACATCGATTTTAGTAATTTACGATTTATCAATTTGGTTCACCGATTCACTTACGATTCATAATTATTTGCGATTCACACAACTTGTCGGAATTGAATTGATTACCTACTGAAACGAATCAAATCGTACAAGTTTAATAACAAAGGACATATACGGTGGCGAAATGATTTGGATCAGTTAGAATTGATATAATTGATTGTACTATTTATTAGTGTGAGACAGACCTATAGGGTGGCGGGTCAAGACTCGGGTTATGACCCTTGATCCTATTAGTTGTCTTGATCATGAAATTACTATTCATTAGTCAGAACATGGCAGGTGGGACTAGACTGGAACCAAGACAGGGTAATGCCCCTTCATTATATCTTGTCAAATTGGCAATGGGATTCCTTGTAGATTAACCGTGTAAGTGGACAGGAATAATTGGTCTTTCGGCTGTTATAGTTTAGAGAGTTTGTTTCTGGTGTTGCTGGTTGGAATCTTGCTAGCCAATTCTTTGGGAGTGCGTGTTTGATGCATCGCATGTGAGTTAACTATTGCTTTTTCCCTAATGGATGCCTATTCATGCCTTATATTTCTATCTGATACTGTTTGATTTTCTCAAATGAAATATTACTTTCATAGTGTATTTGAAATTCTCAACTTACAAGTTGATCCACTAGAGTTAGATGGAGCTATCCAAGTCAGTACTACGTACGCTGCCACTCTTCACTATCAAATGGCCTACCAAGTGCAGAATAATGCCCTTCATTTAGCTTTTCGTGATTCCTCGAAATATTTGGTTGGTTGTTGACACATTCGCGTGATAGTGGACTTTTGAGGTTTTGTCGATTGTATTTGCTAGGCACAAGAATACAGATGCATTAGGGTCCATTTTTAGGTTTCTAGCTATAAAGGTGATTGATTCCTTATAAGTGCTTTCTTTCTTCTGTTGATGATGATATGCTTGTTCGAGGACGCCATCATCATAGTTTCCATTACAACCTTGTCTTGTTGATGTCCTTTTATGCTTAAATTTATGAAAATGTGATGGGCTTACAACATTTTTATCATTTCAAGGTGCCTCTGAACTACAATTCAAAATAAAAAAAAGGTGCCTCCGAACTTGGCACGGGATCCTATCTCCAAATCTCCTCTATCCTATATATTTAGCTTCTAAGGAGTTGGGTTAGCGGAGTCGCTGAGCAGCAGGAGCAGGTGAACCCACAATGGGTAGTAGACGGTATAATAGGAGCTACCCCACAAGTCAACTACATAGACTTCCTCTTCACCGCACTAGTAGATTAGAGGTGACTTAACTATCCCAAGAAATTACAATGGTAATTGATTTATTATTTATATGGATCTTATAGATAGATTCATCTTCTCTAGGGACACTTAATTTCTTGTATCAAAGATTGATGAAAAAGTAGATACCTTGAAATAATGGTGGTAGTGACTATAGAGAATATTGGATAACCAATGTATATAGAGAAGAGTTGGATGGTGGTGATGTAGAATGTAATCACGGAAGATGTTGAAACATCGCAATAAGTTTTTCTTCCCTAGGATAGTATTAATAATAAATAGAAAAAACCTCTAGTAACAACACTGACCAGCAAGCATTCACCCTAGAAACAAAAGTAGTTCGGTGAAATGTTAGTAAAATATTGGTGTTCTTAATTTTTTAAATTTTGTCAAGTTTTCTATATCATTACATCATTCTAGAGTGTAATATAGTGTTGTATTGGATATTTTTTAGAGTATCTCTTAACAGCTTTCTTATTATTATTATTTTTTTCATTTTTAACTAATTTAGGTAGACTCACCTCAAAAAATTAGCTCCAACAGCTCTCCTAATGGGCTTCTTATTTTTTGAAATCAGTAGCTCCTTTTTACATCCAATAATGTTAATAACACTAATAAATCTACCAAGAAATATACTAACTAAATATAAAATTTATTTTACTTTCACACGAAATAATGGAATTCACATTATATGTCGTGTTTTAGTTAGTATGCTTGTTGATATATTGATTAATATTTTAAGTATTACTGCTTTACATCCCTTAGAAATATAAAAATAATTTTTTATGACCACATCTAATTATTTTAAAGACAAATGTGATGAAATCAAAGACAAAGATGATGAAATCGTATAGTTACAAATATCAGGTAATTTTTTTTTAATGATTTACACACTAAAATTTAAAAGATTAATAAATTAAATTATTAAAATAAAATTCATGATAAATCTAAGGGTCTCAGTTGGACTGATTCAATTCACACTATGTGAATGGAGACATCCTCAGCCCTTTGACTAAAATTTATAGAAAAAAATAGAAAGAAGATGAGTTTGGTTGCTACTATAATGAATTATTTAAAATACAAAAATAAAGTATTTGAAAATTATGAATTTGCTTCCTACCCCAAACAGTAGAACTCATTGTGATATCTATATGAATCGTAAAATTCTTTCTTTCTTTCTTTTACATGCAAACCAAAATCAACTTCTTACTTTCTTAGCAAGAAGAACTTGCTGATACTGAATTTGATCTCTGCAACGAACAGGAAGAAGAAGAATTCAAGAACTCGATACAATCCTCTACAGCTTCAGCTCGATGAGAATCAATGGCATCTGCTGCATATGACCTAGACCTTGTCAAACTAGACGACGATGAAACTTTACGCGAAGACCTCTTTGTGATTGACACGAAGCGTAACGCTCTCACAAACTTAGCTCTCATACGCCTTAGAAATCCCATCGGTGAAACACCCGGAGAGGAGTCATTTTGAAGTCTGAAACTCAAGATTCTGATGACTCTCTTCCTTTGTATACCACCAACTTTGGTGCCACTTCCATGGTTATAGAAGCTTGGTGGCTTGTTGGTGAGTTCAGGACTGAAACACACTTTCTTGCTCATTTTCTTAGACATCATGAGAGAGAGAGAGAGAGAGAGAGAGGGGTTGTGAACAAGAGGCAGTTGGAGAGGTTGTAGCTATAAAGGTGATTGATTCCTTATAAGTGCTTTCTTTCCTCTGGAAAGAGGGAAAAAGGAAAAGGAGAGGAAGGAAAAAGAAAAAGAGAGGGTTTTAAAATTCTCATTGTAATGAGAAATCTTCATTGTTTTTGATGGAAAATATATGGTTTGTTCACTGAAGTTGACTGCATACCAAACAAGCGTTAAGTGTACGTTTTTTTCACTTTTTTTTTTTTTTTGTTTTGATGATTTGGTGGTGGTCAGAAAAAAGAAAAGAAAAAGAAAGTACTAAAATATGATAAACATGATAAATATTGATAATTATAATCATAATTTTTTTATTAATGTTCAATAATTTTATAAGATTTTCACTGAATGGTAATTTTCTCTCTTTCTTTTGGATTCAGCGGTCCAGAGTGTTTGGCCAGCTGACATACATCTCAATTAATTTCTTTTCCGATTGAGTCAAAGGCAGACCACCTACGCTAGAATTAGAGAATTCAAGAGAAATTACTTTCTTGCGAGCTGTCTCCAAAAATCAAACCCTGAGTAATTGTGTGGGTAAAAATTTAAAAAGAACAAGTAAAAAAACGTGAATAAAAGATGAACTAATTTTTTTTTTTCATTTTCTTTTTCTACGCCCTATTTAAATTTGTAATTTAAACATTACAATCTATACTATATATTAAGTAAAAGGGGGTTTCTAACCCCCAAGGCATGTGAGAGTTCCAATATGTCAATTCTAATTTTCTATTTTTTTTTAAAAAAAAAAAATTAATCTTAACATTTATTAACTTTTCACAACCCATAAGACTTTTTGACTTCTCTGATAATTATTGTAGTACTTTTTATTAAAAAAATTTAAAACATATATTAAGCAAAAGAAAGTTTCCAACCCCCAAGGCATGTGAGAGCTCCAATATGTCAATCCTAATTTTCTAATTTTTTGTTTTTTTTTAAAAAAAAATTAACCTCAGCATTTATTAACTTTTCTCAACCCATAAGATTTTTTGACTTCTCTCATAATTATTGTAGTACCTTTTTTAAAACAAATAATTTGTATATTAAAAAAAAATTAAAACAAATATAAATATCTATATCTATATCTATATCTATCTATTTATTTCTATCTATCTCTAATCCACAAATTTTATGGGAGTTCCAATATCTAAACCTTAATTTCTTAATTTTTTTGATTTTTTTTGAAAAAAAAAAACTTAGCACTTATTAAATTCTTCCAAGTCTTTTTAACTTCTCCAATACACACACTCTATTTAACTTTTTACATAGTTATTGCAAACAGTGAGTCTCATTTTTGTTTTCTCCTTCTTGACTTCTCACTTCTACACTTTCAACTTCAGTGACCACGTATACAAACAGTAAGTCTTCTTTTTGTTTTTTCCTCTTGACTTTTCTTTTTGTTTACTGTTTTAATATTGTAGTTATATAGTGCATAAAAATATTTATGATTTGTCTAACGAATAAAAAAATTATAATTTGATTTTTTTAATATAATTGAAGTTAGATAAATATAAACCCTCACAAAGAGAAAAATGTGATTATAATTAGTTGAATGATTCTTTCTTTTTTTTAATGTGATTGTAGTTAGCTTAATAGTTCTTTTTTTCATTTATTTATTTTATTATGGAAAAAATGTGATGTAATTGTAATTTGTTCAATGACTCTTTTTTTTAATATGATTGTTGTAGTTAGTTCAATGTTTTTTTTTTTAATGTTATTTAATCTTTTTATTTACTATTTTAATTTTATTTTTAATGTGATTGAAGTTAGATAAACATAAACACTCACAAAGAAAAAAATGTGGAGTAGTTGAATGATTCTTTTTTTTTAATGTGATTGTAGTTAGTTTAATAGTTTTTTTTCGTTTATTTATTTTATTATGGGAAAAATGTGATGTGATTGTAGTTTGTTCAACAGCTCTTTTTTTAAATATGATTGTTGTAGTTAGTTCAATGGTTTTTTTTTAATGTTATTTAATCTTTTTATTTACTATTTTAATTTTATTTTTAATATGATTGAAATTAGATAAATATAAACGCTTACAAAGAAAAAAATGTGATTGTAGTTAGTTCAATGGTTCCTTTTTTTTAATATGATTGTAGTTAGTCAATGGTTCTTTTTTTCATTTATTTATTTTTTTTATTATGAGAAAAATGTGATGTGATTGTAGTTTGTTCAATGGTTCTTTTTTTTAATGTGATTTAATCTTTTATTTACTTTTTTAATGGTTTTTCTTTACAATTATTTATGAAAAAAATATGATTGTAGTTAAATAGCATAAAAATATTTGTGATTTGATTTTTTTCTGATTTGATTTTTAAAGTACCAATTATTGATAATGATTAGATTGTATTTTGAAAAAAAGAATTGTAATTGATTTTTTTAACTCACTGTGTTTTTTGAAAAAAAAAATTATTGTGTTTTTTTAACTATCAATTCACTTAATTTGTGATTTGATTTTTAACTCACTGTGTTTTTTGTAAAACAAAATAGATTGTACTCATTAGGGCACTACAAGAAAATGCAGAATTGGCGACCAAAATAAGTATTTTCGTCGCTGAAAGTAGAACCAATGGCGACTAAAGTCAGTTTTGTCGCCAAACCTGAGCACTTTTGCCGACTAAAGCACTTTAGTCGCCGAATATAGGCCTTTTAGCGACTAAAAGTCAGTTTAGTCGCCGAATATAGGAGTTTCAGCGACTGAAAAAATTTTAGTAGCTAAAAGGCATGGTTTTTGGCGACTAAAAGCATTTAGTAGCCAAAACTATAGGTTTTGGCGACTAAAAACTACTTTAGTCGCCGAATATAGGTGTTTTACCGACAAACAAATTTTTTGTAGCCAAAAGTAAAGGTTTTTGGAACAAAAGAGTTGAATCCTAGAGATTCATACTCCCGGCCTCTATAAGGACCTTACAGTTACACCAAAAATAATGACCATTAAACAAGAAAATGGTTACACCAAAATAATGACCATTAAACAGGTTCATGAATTCTATTTAACATCCATTTATGACCAAGAGGTTACCAAAGTAATAAAATCCCATTTATGAAAAAGATAATCCAATAAATAAATATAAGATATTAAAATGGTCCAACAGTTTCATTTCATAACAAGACAATAGTATTAAGCATGAATTTATTTACAAAACTATCATCTTTTTTTTTTCATTTTTTTAGACCCTGTTAAAAATATTTTATTCATTTGTTTTTCATTTTTTTTAGACTCCATTAAAAATATTTTACTCATTTTTCATTATTTAGTTAAACAAAAAGTAAGTAAATTTCGTTGTTTGTACCATTTTCCTCAAAATTACTTATCTTTAAAATTTTCATAAGTCAATTTTTACAAAATTGACACTCAGTCACTACTTTTTCAACATATTTAGGGTTTTCAAATAAGATTCTGTTTATTTTGTCGTAAAATATTTTTGTCAAAAATATTTTGTTCATTTTTTGCTGCTTGGTTGAACAAAAAGTAAGTACAATATTTTTTAAGAAAAATATTTTTCCATCATTTTCTCAAAAATAACTTATGTTTAAAAATTATGTAGGTCAATATTTATAAAGATAATTCTCACTCACTATATTTTTAGCACATTCAATCTTTTTAAAATAGGGGAATTGACTAGTAAATCCCAAATTGTCATCTTGTAACCCATTTGGTCCTAAATTATTTTTGTTAAACTGTTTAGTCCTTATGACAGCTTGTTTACAATTTTGCCACTAATGTGTTAATTTGAATTTATGGGGCGTGTTTATGGGAATAATTAGATTGTATTTTGACCCCAAAAAAATTATCATTGATCTTTTTAACTCACTATGTTTTTTGAAAAATAAATTATTTTATTTTTTAATTATCAATTGACTTAATTTGTGATTGATTTTTTTAAGGGGAATTGACTAGTAAATCCCAAATTGTCATCTTGTAACCCATTTGGTCCTAAATTATTTTTGTTAAACTGTTTAGTCCTTATGACAGCTTGTTTACAATTTTGCCACTAATGTGTTAATTTGAATTTATGGGGCGTGTTTATGGGAATGATGGGGTTTGTGGTTCACATACCCAAGAAAAGCGTACTAGTAGGTTTTGGAGTTGTGGGACTGTGTTAATGTGGGACTAAAACCACATTGGTTTTGGGTAGCTTGTACGACGTGGGTGCGTGAATTGGGTTTTTTGTATGGCCCGAACTCGAAAATGTGTTGACCCGGAAAATCAAATTGGTTAGGCCTGTATAAGTGTTTTGGAAATAGGAATCATCCCCAAATTGGGAGACGATTCGGTGGCTAGGTGCAACGTGAACCTTATTAATTTTTGGAATTGCCCCCCCCCCCCAATTTCGCAAATTCAAATCAACATAATCCCTAAACAGACGGAAGAGATTGAAGGAATAATTGACCCCGAGTTTGTGCATATCAGAGGTGGTGTGGTTGTACTTGGCGTTGAGTGCTGTGGCGTGAAGAACACTAGTTTGGTTGGTCGGTCGGAGGTGTCTCCTGTGAATCCGGCTTAGCGTAGTAGTAGTGGACTAGTTGATCCGACGTGACGTGAACAATGTCTACGACGTGATGACCTAGAACTCAGAATGGTGTGTGAACGTGAACAATGGTGTGTGAAACGGGTTAACGTGAACGTGAACAATGGTGCGTGAATCCAGCTTAAACATGAATGTGAATAATGGTGAGGTATTACTGCAAATACCTTTTACTTGATCAGGAAGAACCTTGTGAAGAAATGCATTGAGATGTTCAATGAGATTGCAGAGAACAAGGAGGACTACAACAAATTCTATGAAGTTTTCTCCAAGAATTTGAAGTTGGGTATCCATGAGGACAGCCAGAACAGGGCGAAATTGGCTGATTTGCTCCGATATCACTCAACAAAGAGCCGCGACAAGCTGACTAACCTGAAGGATTATATCACGAGAATGAAGCAAGAAGACCATGGAGATCAATCCTGACAATGGAATTATGGAGGAGTTGAGGAAGAGAGT